GGACGTGTCGCGCCAGGCCCACGTGCTCGATCTGCGGGTGGAGCCCCGTGCCGACAGGCTGCGGGCTGCGTGTTGCATGTCGCGGCGGCCAGGCTAGAGTCTGTTCTTTCTTACCCTTTGGGCCACGATGCGCGTTATGCCTCCTCCCCCTCCTCTCTCCTCCCCCTCCCCCTCTCCTCCTCGCCTCTCCTCCCCCTCCCCTCTCCTCCCCCTCCCCTCCCCTCCCCCTCCCCCCCTGTAACGTACCGCTTCCCCCCTCAGTGCGTCCCCGGCACTGCCGCAGTGCGTCCGGCACCATAGTCTGGGGGGGGCAGCGTTATCTTATGCCCCTCCCATCCAGCCCCCCTGCGCCCTCATAACTAGGGGAACGAAACATTGCATAAACATAAAAACTCTGAGGTCCGCGGTACCCCCCTCCCTGGCGCGCGGAGCGCGCCAGAGGCGGCGCCGGAGGCGCCGCCAGGGGGGACCAGCGCCGATCCGAGAAGTCCGCGCGTACCTCAGAGTTGTTGTGTTTATGTCATTGTCCGTTCCCCTACTAACGCCCGGCATGGTCTCGAAGAAAACATGCGCTCCTAAGCTCCGAATGCTCCTCCTGCTGCTCTTCTTCCTCCTCCTCCTTCTCCTCCTCCTCCTCCTCCTCCTCCTCCTCCTCCTCCTCCCCCTCCTCATGTTCCTCCTGCTCGTCCTCCTCATGTTTCTCCTGCTCCTCCTCCTCCTCCATTTCCTCCTCCTCCTCCTCCTTCATTTCCTCCTCCTCCTCCTCCTCCCCTCCTCCTTCTCCTCCTCCCCCTCCTCATGTTCCTCCTGCTCTTCCTCCTCCCCCTCCTCATGTTCCCTCCTCCTCCTCCCCTCCTCCTCCTCCTCCTCTTCCTCCTCCTACTCCTCCTCCTCCTCCTCCTCCTCCTCCTTCTCCCCCTGCTGCCCTCCCTCCGTTCCCCCCTGCGCATCGCTGGCCTCCGCGACCCGGAGGTGCTGCAGCCGCCGCTGAAGTGGTGGGCGTCCCGCCTGCTCGCGCCGAACGGGGGCACGGCGCCCCTTGCAGTGGCGATACAGGTCCCCCTGCGTGGGAGCGCCCAGACTCAGCACGAGGATATCTCGAAGAAGAAACAACTCAGGAGGCAAAGAAACACACAGACACAATGAATCGGCGATTCCCCAGAACATATGGGAAACTATGGGAAGTGGGGGGGAAGACGAAAACCCAGAAAATATGGGAAACTATGGGGACTATTTTTATTTGTGTGTATTTATTTGTGTGTCCCAGGGCCCCTTCAAAAACGCCATAAACCTAAACTTCTGGCGCTCCGCACGGATTTCTGGAGTCCACGCTGGGCCCCCCCCCCCCCCAGCGGCGCCTCCGGCGCCGCCCCTGGCGCGCCCCGCGCGCCAGGGAGGGGGGTCCAGCGCAGATCCAAAAAATCTGCGCGGAGCGCCGAACGTGTATGTTTATGGCGTTTTTCTTTTTTCCTGTGGAAGCGCCCGGACTCAGCACGAGGATATCACCACGAATTGCATGGGCGCTGTTTCTTCCGGGGGGGGATCTGGGGGTCATCCTCCGCCGCCACGGCCGAATTTTCCGATTCTTGGTGGGCCAGAGCACACCTACTGAGAGGTTTGGCTGCCGATATGGGACAGAAGGAGGGAGAGGAGGAGGGCTACACTCTGTGCCCTCACGGGCATGCATTATTTCACCATGTTTCTGCCACCTTCTTCACTTTCTGCTACGCCCGCCAGGCGTGACCTGTTGGCCCTTTGGCCTAAGGCGGCACTCGCAGGCGAGTCGTTCCTTACAGATGCAACAATCCCGAGGTTGAAATCCCGCTCAACGCAACAAGCAAGAGGAGGAGGAGGAGGAGGAGGAGGAGGAGGAGGAGCAGGAGCAGCAGGAGACGGCTGATGATGATGATGATGATGATGATGATGAGGAGGAGGAGGAGGAGGAGGAGGAGGAGGAGGAGGAGGAGGAGGATGAGAAAGTGGTGGGCAGCCGGAGCGCCATGCAGAGACGGGGCTCTGGGAGAAGGACGGCCCTGCACGGCGGGTGCCTCTTCGCCGCTCTCGGGCTCCGGGGGGCTCGTGTCCAGGGCCCAGTGGGGCCGGACGCCGAGAAGCTTTGGGCGTCGCGTAAAGAACGGGGGTCGGGGGTGGACAGAACCCCCAACAGTGACACGTCGATTAGTGAATTGTCCGTTTTCGGTTCTCGAGAGGGCGCCGCGGCCGTTATTTTCCAGGCTTGCGCCCGCCAGGTTTGGGCCCCAGGTCATTTTCACTAAACCACGTTTTACTAAAGGGAGGTCTGTCCATTCCCGAGGGGGGGGGCGAGAAATGGGGGGCAGCGAGGGCTGCAGAAAAGGGGCCCCAACGCCTGAAGGGGTCCTTTGGGGGTCTCCAAGGGAGCCTTTGAGGTTCAAAAAATGCCCCTTCCTTTCCCCCGATTGATCGCCCACCCTCACGAAGCGACGCCCCAAACATTGTACCGGGGACAGCCCTGGAGAGACCTGCTTCCACCACTGGGTCCTTTTGCTTTCATAAGTGGGGGCAGCATTCGAACTGGGGAGGACGAGTGGCGGTAGTTCTTGATGGTCTAGCCAACGACGACGCGGTGGACGACGACGACGAGGACGACGACGACGACGACGAGGACGACGACGCCCACGCCTCCCGAGACCCCGACCTCTCCACCACGGGAACGGGGCCCTGCAGCCTCGGCCCGGCCCTTTTTCGGGCGGATGGCAGTGGAGGGTGACCTCCAGGGGGGCTGGAGGACATGGCCCTCAGGGGGCCGTCCCCTTCGCCCCCCCCATCCAGGTCACTCCCCGTTACCACCCGCCCGACGCTTCCCTGTCATGAAGGAGCATACATGCACTCGGCGCAAGAGGAGGACGCGGAGGAGGAGGAGGAGGAGGAGGAAGGAGGAGGAGCAGGAGGAGTTGGTGGACGGGTGGGTTGTGAAGCCCTGGTTCAGGAGTGGGCAGCACCGCGCCCTCCTTCCGCCTCGTCCCTCTCTCTCCTCATCCTATCGCCCCCCTTTCCATCCTCCTCCTCCCGTTTCTCCCCCCTCCCTCTGGAGATCTGCGCCACTGGGTCCCCTCCCCAGGAATACAAGCGAGTAGTCTCCCGTTCGCCACAACTGCAGGAATAGCGTGGACGTTCAGCCTTGTAAGTTTCTGGCCGCTGGGAGGTGTATACATGGTGATGTTGTCGTCGTACCCTGACAGTTCCGATTTTTGCGTGAACGCTCTCGGCCGCGAAACCGAGCTTCCCCCGTTTCGTACGCGCCAGATTTCGCCAATACTGCGAAGGCCTTGCGGCCGGTGCCGCCGACCCTGAAGGGGGACGTCGACGACGACGGCGGCGGCGGGGCGACGACGACGACGACGCCGCTTACGTGGGCCCGAGTCCTCAGGGATGCTTCTTGGGGTCTCTTGGGAAGGCTCTCGGGGGCCTCTGGTGGCCTCATGGGGGCCTCTCGGGGGCCGCCTGGGAGCTTCTCGGGGCCGAGGGCTCGAAATGTCAGTTCGGGCTCCCCGTCAAGACATGCTCTTGGATCCGTCTTGGGGGCTTCTTGGGCCGTCTTGGAGGCGTTTTGGGCTGTCTTGTGGTTCTCTTGGGATGCGTTGGAGCGTTCTTCGAAGCCTTTTGGGCCGTCTTGAGGCGATCTTGAGGGCCTCTTCGGCCGTCCTGGAGCGGCGGGAATCGGAAAAGGCGAGAACGCCGAAATTTATCAAAATACAAAGGACATCGTGGTCTTGGGGCCCTCTCGGGAGTGCCTTTGGAGGCCTCTTGGGGCGTCTTGGAGATCGCCTGGGCAGTCTGGGAGCGTGAAGGCGTTTGGGGCCGATCGTTTGGCGATTGGGGGCCCTCTTGGACCGTCTCGGGGGCCTCTTGGGGCACTCTTGGTTTGTTTTGGTACTTTTTGCAACCCCGGGACCCCCCCCGACGAGGAAGGAATCAAAGTGAAGGGGCTCCCTTCGATTGGATTACAACACTGCGAGGTTTTTCTGTCGCTGACAGGTTTGGGGAGGGTGCAGGGAGAGGGGACGACGCAGACGACGAATGACGGAGACGACGATTCGAACAGACAAACCCCTCGCACACGCCGACAGGGTCGGCGGATTTGATTGTTTTGGTGGTCATGTGGTTATCCTCCTTCCCCCTCCTCGCGGCGGGGACGGATGGCGGGTCGGAGGGGACATGCGTAGCTGTCGTCACGCTGCGAGGGCTGTGCAGAGTGGACGGATGGGGCACCGAGACGCGGGCTGTGCAGAGGGGCTGCGCAGAGGGGATGCAGGCGTGGCGGCGAGAAGCTTGCCAGAGCCCCCCTAAACAAGACAAAACCGTCAAGGAAAGTGGATCACCGGAGGAGGAGGAGGAGGAGGAGGAGGAGGAGGAGGAGGAGGAGGAGGAGGGAGGAGGAGGGAGGAGGAGGAGGAGGAGCAGGAGGAGCAGGAGGAGCAGGAGGAGCAGGAGGAGGAGGAGGAGGAGCATGAGGAGGAGCAGGAGGAGGAGCAGGAGCAGGAGGAGGAGGAGGAGGAGGAGGAGCAGCAGGAGCAGGAGGAGGAGGAGGAAGCACACACAGCCGGCGACCAGGTTTGTCTCCGTGCGCGGCCCCAGCGGGGCCGACCCCTGCCCCAGGTGTAGGTTTCAGTCGGGCACGTTGCTCTACAGGAGGGATGTTCAGGGAGAGTCCAAACATATCGTCTGGGGACGATTGTTTGACAATTTTCTGCGCAGTTGTTAGATATTTTTGCCCGGGCATTTTTGATTTTCATCCCAAACCCCTTTGTAGGGGGAGTGCCCGACCTAAGTGTAGACTTTCACCCTGGATCTTTTTGTGATGGCCCCGGGTGGCCGAAGTCTGTGAATAGCCACCGACCTGTTGAAAGGCACACATCGCGGGGGATCCAGATCTGCCCTCGTCCTCCTCCTCCTCCTCCTCCTCCTCCTCCTCCTCCTCCTCCTTCCTTCCCAAGAGGTCCCGGAGCAGATCGTCCCAGATCTGCCGTGGGACCTGTGGCTGCCGGACTTCCCGCTGCTGCTGACGCTGGACGTCGACCTGTGGTCCAGAGGCAGCGGGCGGACGTCTCGTCGCCGACGCGGCCGCCGCCGCTATCGCCGCTCGTCGTCGCCAGCGCGCCGCTCCTCGCTCGTCGTTCCTCTTCTCCAGACCCCAGGTGCCGATACTGCTACCTTTCCTTGGGAATATTTGGAGGCCCCGTGGCCTCCTGGGAGGCCCCGGGTCCGAGCACAGTATATGGCTACCACCACCAAGATCGATGATAATCTACGATGCGAGTTGATGCAGTTTTGTTCTGGTGAAAAACCCGCAGTCCCCCTCCCGCCGCCAACGGCAACCGGGCTGCCCCCTCTCTTTTAAGGACCGCAACCGAATTCATCAAAGCACGCGCGGTGGTGGTGTGTCAAATTCTGGTTGCCAAGAGGAGCGATCCTTATACACCACCACCACCAAGAAGTGCTGTTTCTGCTTCAGGAACTCCCCATGCCACGGCGCCTGCGAGCTGCGCCGCGCTCCTTTCCGCCGTGGCGTCGCAGCGTCGTCTGGCATGACCCTGCCCCTAACTCTTTTTGCGGTAAATTCTTGTGGCGGGCGGTGGTGGTGTATAAAAATTGGCCTCGCACCGGGGCCACGGCTGGCTTCGCTTCGATCTTCTTGTTAGAAGGCACCCCAGGACAGGTCTGGGGAGTATTGGTATCGGTATCGTCTGGTCTCCATACCGGTTAAGTTTGAGATCGCAACGAGCTTGTTCTGTCAGTTCGAACCTTTGGAGTCCCAGCTCCGGCCACGGAGCCTGGGCAGCACAGCTTGCTGCGCGAAATAGATTCAGGGAGTGGGCTCGAAAGCTCCAGGACCCCACGCGCACACGAGTCGAGGCATCATTACGCAGGCGTCTACCATGTCCTCCGCAGCGCCGCAGACATGGTCCAGGGCTTCGTCAGGGCCCATGGCCAGGGCTTCGCAAGGGCATCGCGCGCATTTCGTCCTCCGCCACATCATGATCCCACGCTCCCTTACCCTGCTCTTTCCATCTTCCGCGTCCTCGACCCCTATTTATGCACGGCATCGCGGCAGGGTTGACGAAGCGGAGCACGCGCGCGCCCAGAGGAACAAGCAGGGCCAGGGCAAGCGGCCTCGATGGGGCACACGGGCATGTCCCCGAGGCATGTTGACGGCAACGGCGATGGCAAACGCGCGGGGATTGTGGAGTCCAGGAATGTGGGCCTAGAGGTGCCCTGAATGGCTCCCGAACTGCCACCCCAGGCCCAAAAGGCGCGCCAAAGTCGGGGGAACGTAAGACTCGGGTAAGCCGGAACTCGGGTTTGCCGACGTTTTTTTGACGAGCGCGTTCTGGATTTTGACGGTCCAGTTTTCGTGGGATGCTTGCAGTGGGAGGTCGCGTCAAATTCCAGATGGCGTCTCGTCATTTTTATGATGGACCCCGTCAGGCCAACCCGCGTCCCCTGTACCCGAGTCTTACGTTTCCCCGACAAACGTGAGCATTCCCCCCCCCCATCGGGTTAAGGCCCCACCGTTGTCGAAAACCCGCGTCGGCAGCCTGTGGAGCGCCGCGCAAGGCCGGGCATGTAAATCCTCCGATCTCCCCGGGAGGGGGACCCGGTCCTCTTCCTCCTCCTCCTCCTCCTCCTCCTCCTCCTCCTCCTCCTCCTCCTCCCTCTCCTCCGCCTCCCCCTCCACCTTCTGCTCCTCCTCCTCCTCCTCCTCCGATCTCCCCGGGAGGGGGACCCAGTCCTTTTCCTCCTCCTCCTCCTCCTCCTCCTCCTCCTCCTCCTCCTCCGCCTCCCCCATCCACATTCTGCTCCTCCTCCTCCTGGGGGCGGCGCCCTCCCCCCCACGGGCATGGATCACAGCGCCTCGAAAGCCCCCTGCTCTCTATGCTGAGGAAAGCCCGCGATCGCTTCGAAGCCGCCGGGGAGCGGGGTCCTCCTTCCCTCTTTCTCAATCGCCCCCCTCTTTTAGGATGCAGCTCCTGGGAGGTTCAAGTCAGCGTCGGCGCAATACCACGCGCGGGCGAAGACAAGTCCAATCCAGCAGAATCCCCTTGAACTCCATTTTTTCCCGCCGAGTCCGGCCTTCTCGGGATTGTCCCTCGGTGTGGAGCCTTGGAGGTCTGGACCCCTTCCCAGTGTCGGCGGCGGGCAAGGGGGGGAATGAGAAGGAGAAGGCCTTCTTAGAAGGCGGCGGGACTTCTCAGAAGCCCTCGCGCCTTCTGAAACAGGGTTCTCTGCCTTCGGGGAAGGCTTGGAAAACTTCTCAGAAGGCCTTGGGACTTCCGAGCCTTCTGAGAAGGCTCGCCCCTTCTCATTTCCCCCCCTCGCTCGCCGCCTACAGTGACCTGGCGGGGGCTCCACTGCGCGCAGGCCCGTACCTGCGCGGCGCCCGCCTGGCGATCGCGGACGCCGTGGTCGACCGCCTCGTGGAGGCGGTGCGCGTGCAGGCGCTCGCGTGCGGCCAGGGCCGGCGCTCTGTGCCTGCCCTTATCCATGCCGGCCCTCGCCGGGGCGCCTTCTTCGCCTCGGACGACCGACATGGGCACGGAAATAATGGGCACGATGCCCAACAGCAGTTCCTGTGCATTTTGAACAGGAGTCGCTGCCCGCGCCGCCGCGGCCTGTGTCCATCTGGGGCAGAAGGCCGCCTGCCCAACAGCGGCCGCTGTTGGTTTGGAACAACACTTGTTGTTGGGCATTGTACCCATTTTTCCGTACCCATTTCGGGCGTCCAAATCTTCCCGGGGAGGATCCAGGACTTCGACGTCATTTGATTTTTGGCTATCGGGGCAGTCTTCCTCGATTTCGTCCGTTTTCGGCTCTTGGGGCCACCAGAAGCGCGTGATCCCAGAATCGTGGATCTTGGACGAAAATGTACCCCCGTGGGAGCTGTCGGGAACTCTGGGGCCGCGGGCTGAGAAAAAAAAACGTCGGCGGATGTCAGGGCCTCTCGCCTCCCCGTGGGGCCCTTGGGGGGGGGGGGAGGTCCAGGAGGAGAAAGACAGGAGGCAAGGGGTTTGGGAGTGAGGAGGTGCAGGCGTCTTGGCTGCCCTGACACGTCCGTGTGAGCGCTTTGCGTGTTTGGCTCGGCACCAGTCCGCGGCGGTACCAGTCCGCGGCGCACCTGCTCCTGCACATCCACTTCGGCACCGCCTGCACCCCGGGCCCCGCCCGCTCTGGCCGCCTGAGGCTCCGCCTTCCTGTGCCTTGTCTCCCTGATCAAAGCTGCGCGTAGCCCGCCTAGCTTTTAGCGGAAGAGGTTCGCTCTCGCCCCGCAGATCAAACAAGTGTTTGGCTCGGCACGTGTTGACCCACGTCTTGGCGAACGCATCGGCGCCAAACGTACATGCTCGGTCTACGTGTCGAGCCCCGTGTCCATGCGCCACGTGCTGCGTCTGGCGTATCGGGGTAGCGAAGGCAGGCGTGGACCGCAGCGCACGGATTAGCGGGTCCCGCCCCCACAGCCCAAATGCCGGCCGGTGTCCGTCGCCGAATCAGCCGGCGTTGGCATCTGTGAATAGAACCCGTATATATATAGATACTCCTTATCCTCACTCTCCTGCGCCTGGCCGTCTGGGCTCAGGTATTGGAACATATCGATCAGACCTTTGATCGTGCAGGCGGAAAAGATATCCATCTTTCTTTCCTTTCCTCTACCAGCGGATCAGGGGTTCTGTACCTTTGTACTCCAACCCCGCACACAGCATCATGTTTCGCCCCGATCCGTGGATCTGGCGCCACGCTTCTGCGCGCGAGCGGCGGCGATTTGGAACTCGGCTCTCCCGCCTCCCAGTTCCAGACAGTGCAACGGGGGTCACCACATGGGGGTCCAGACGGGGCCCCTGGACCCCCAGCGTCCCCCAGACCACCCAACACCGTTTCAAGCCTCCTCGATGCTCCCTCTTCTTTGATGCCCGATTTCCAGGAGGGGGATGGCGACCCCCCCCCCCTGGTGACCCGTTGCCTGGCCGACCGATGTTTGCAGGACGATGCAATGACATCAGACCGCGGACTGGTGATTCCGACTGTGGTGGGGCTGGTTGTCACTACGTGAGCGGCGGCATCCAAAAACACCCCATCCGCGCGGCCGTGGTGTTTGGCCATGACCCTCTCGGCGCTGACCGACCGATGCCATGGAGAGCGCTTGTGTTCCCAACCCTCCTTGGTTGGGTTCCCGTTTTGAATGAAGCACTGGAATCGCCCCCCGCCCCCCCCCCGCTCTCCTCTCGGCTCTCTCTCGCATCCCTTTTTGGGGCCGCGAAAGACGAAACTGTCGCCACTTTCGAGGGCTGCTGGGGGAGCCCGCGCAGTGGGGCCCCACTCAGACCCAGACGGGACCTCGCCAGCCTCGGGGGGCTGCGAAGTGTGAATTTGTCGTCATTTTTGATGGCTGCTGGGGGAGCCCGCACAGTGGGGCCCCTCGCAGATCCAAACGGGACCTCGCCATCCCTGGCGTGCTGCGAAAGATGAACATGTCGCCACGTTCGAGGGCTGCTGAGGGAACCCGCGCAATGGGGCCCCACGCAGACCCAAACGGGACCTCGCCATCCCTTGGGGGCTGCGAAGTGCGATCGCCACTTTCGAGGGTTGCCGGGGGATCCCGCACAGTGGGCCACTGCGCAGACCCAAGCGGGACCTCGACATCCTTGCGGGGCTGCGAAGTATGAACATGTCGCCACTTTCGAGGGCCGCTGGGGGAGCCAGCGCAGTGGGGCCACACACAGATCCAAACGGGACCTCGCCATCCCTGTTGGGCTGCGAAATGTGAAACTGTCGCCATTTTCGAGGGCTGCCGGGGGGGCCAGGGGACCTCGCCATCCCTGGGGGGGGCTGCTAAGTGTGAGCATGTACAGGGGGGGGGGGGGGGGCGCACAGTGGGGTCCCACTCAGACCTCGGGGACCTCGCTATCCCTGGGGGGGGCGGCTGGCCGCACAGGTGTTGAGCACTTCGGCATGGAAATTCGCGGCACTTCATTGTCTGGTTGCGTATCCGCCTGTGTAGCATTATCTTGCCCATGCTTCATCATATTGCTGTTTCTGCCGAGGTGATTGTTCTTCCACCCCGATATAATCGTTTTTTTTTCTCCTTCCAGTACAATGTCTCCTGGCCTTTTGTACCTCTGTAGTGCGATTCGGCGACGCACACTTTGCACGCTATAGATATCCGCCGTGTACTGTCAATTGCAGTGTTGCTGTCACACGATTGTCGACACACCTTATATCATCCCTTGGTGCCATGGGTTGGGTACGTCGCAGGGTAATTATCTCAGCGGTCGCGGGCATTACCCGGGCGGGGGGGAGGGGGGGCCACGGTCACGCCACGTTTCGCGTCGGAGCCGTCTGTGAACGTGTAGAGGAACAAACAAATCAGAGCGAAGGGGCCGAGCGGCCATTCATTGTCCCTGGGTGCGTGGCTGAAGTGGGGTCCGTGGTGAAGATTATGATTGATGCGTTGTTGTTGCTGTTATTGTTGTGGAGGTGGTGGTGGTTGTCGTCGTTGAACTCTCACGATTGAAGAACAACTACGGTTGTTCCCCATCCAGTGCTCACTGTATTTGTCCGATTGAAGTGCCCCTCCCGGCGCTCGCACCCTGTTTTTCTCAAAGTAGGCTTGCCCTGTAGGAGTCCTAGCTAAAGCCCTGCTAGTTCGTCCACTGCCCCCCTAATCCCTATGCCCTTGAGATTCCTATGGCTATGCCTATGCCTATGTCTACCCCGTTTTTTCCAATGGCGCCCCCCTTATCTATGCTTGCTTGCTTGTTTGCTTGCTTGATTGCTTGCTTGCTTGCTTGCTCGCTTGCTTGATTGCGCGCTTGCGCGCTCGCGTGCTTGTTTGCTTGACTGCTTGCTTGTTTGCGCACTTGCACGATTGCTGGTTTGCTTGCTGAGTGGCGGCTTCCAAGCATGTTCGACCCCTGTGATTCCTTGAGTTGAGTCGTCGCATTTATGTGGAGCCAACGCTGTTTGGTATTATCAAGGAAAGTCGTCCTCCTCAAACTGGGCCCCTGGCCCCCGGGTTACAACAACATCGGCTCCCGCTTGAGACTTCCTCACAAGTTAGCCAGGACCCCCGCTCCCGCCTGAGACTTCCTCGCATGTAATTATGGAATCGCGCCGCTCTCGCTTGGGACTTCCTCACAATGTATTCAGGAATCGTTCTCTCGGTGCTCTGGAGTCGCGCTTTCGCTGGAGACTTGCTTGCACTGGATTCAAGAATTACGCCCTTGCGTTGGAATTTCCTAAACAATTAATCGAGCGCCGCGCTTCCGACATTCAGGCACCCAGGCGCTCAGGATTCCCTCGCAGATGATTTAGGAAACGGGATTTCGCTGCCCTCCTTGCAGCCCTTCGTGGCCCCCTCGCTGCCCTTCGTGGACATGTTGCAGCCCTTCGTAGCCCCCTCGTTGCCCTTCGTGACCCCGTTGCAGCCCTTCGTGGCCCCCTCGCTGCCCTTCGTGGCCTCGTTGCACCCCTTTTTGGCCCCCGCGCTGCCCTTCGTGGCCCCGTTGCGGCCCTTCGTGTCCCCCTCGCTGCAGCCCGTCGTGGCCCCTTCGCTGCCCTTCGTGGCCTCGTTGCACCCCTTCGTGGCCTCCTCGCTGCCTTTCGTGGCCCCGTTGCAGCCCTTTCTGGCCCCTCGTTGCCCTTCGTAACCCCGTTGCAGCGTCTCGTGGCCCCCTCGCTGCCCTTCGCGGCCCCGTTGCAGCCCTTCGTGGCCCCCGCGTTGCCTTTCGTGGCCCCACACATGAATGCCTTTCGTGGCCCCCGCTCGCTCGCGCCCGTCGTGGCCCCATATGCATGCCCTTCGTGGCCCCGCTGTCACCCTTCGTGGCCCGCTCGTTGCCCTTCGTGGCCCAGTTGCCACCCTCAGTGGCCCCGTCCTTGCCTTCTTTTGCCCCGCATAGTTTGCCCATCGTGGCCCCGGCTGGTTCGCGCCCTTCGCATGCCCTTCGTGTCCCCGCTGTCGCCCTTCGTGGCCATGCTTTCGTTCTCTTTCTCGCTTTCGCTTTCGTCGTCGCCGTCGTCGTCGTCGTCGTCGTTGTCGTGGTCGGTCCCCTGTCTGCCCCTCTTGGGGTCGGATTGCCGCCGATCAGCGCTGCCGCTGGCCAGGCCGACGGTCCGCGGCCGCCCCGCCGCTTGCGGGGGCCTGGCCTGCAGGGAAGAAAGGCATACCCCCCCAAAATGGTACGATCGAAAACGAAGAGGGCGGGTATCGAGGGTTTGGGAAATTCGCGTTACAGGGCACTCGAGCAGATAACCGCGAACTGTCTTAAAATGATTCGTGTTGATGCTGCTGCTGTTGTTGTGTTGTTGTTGGTGGTTGTGTTGTTGTCGGTGTTTTCGTTGTTGTTGTTGTTGGTGGTGGTGGTGTTGGTGTTGTTGTTGTTGGTGGTGGTGGTGTTGTTGTTGTTGTTGTTAATGTTGTTGTTGTCGTTGTTGTGGGTTGTCATCGTCCCACCCGCGACCCACCCGCGACCCACCCCGCGACCCACCCCGCGACCCACCCCGCGACCCACCCCGAGATCCAACCCGCGACCCACCCGCGACCCAACTTGCGTCCCACCCACGACCCACCCCGCCACCCACCCGCCACCCACCCGCGACCCACCCCGCGACCCACCCCGCGACCCACCCTGCGACCCATCCCGCGACCCACCCCGCGAGCCACCCCGCGACCCAACCGCGACCGCGACCCACCCCGCGACCCACCCCGCCCAACCCGACCCACCCCACGACCCACTTGCGACCCACCCACCCACCCGCGACCCACCCCGCCACCACCCCGCGACCCACCCCGCGACCCACCCCGCGACCCACCCGCGACCCGCGACCCACCCGCGACCCACCCGCGACCCACCCGCGACCCACCCGCGACATACCCACATTGGTTGAACGAAAAAATCGGCGCCTGCGGCGGGCTCGTGATATAATTTGTGAGTTTTCGGTGCCTGCGGCGGGCTTCTCCAGAGTCTCGCAAACTGCCGACGTCCCCACCGCCCCCTCACTCTTATCCGCATCTGCGGGGCGATCCGGTATGATTTGGAGGTCTGCACGAACCGTGACGCGACGTACTTGGGTGACCAGAGCCAGTGACTATCGCGAGAAGTAGAAACACAACGAACACGCTCACGGTCACTGCGCCTCGCGGTGTTGGGGCTTGCAGCGTGCAGCATGGGAGTGCAAAGGGGCGAGCGCGTTGCGAACGGGAGGGGGCGCAGCACGCCCGTTGCGTCGTGTTTGTCCCGGGAGCTCCTGTTGCCCCGACATGGGGGCATTGCGGGTTGCAGCACATTGGCCTTACGTACATGGTCGAGATTTCTTGCCCACCGTGCCGCAGCGGTGGCCCCGGCGACACACCATGCCCTGCTAGCGGATCGCGTGCCGCCACGCTCCGCGGGGCGGGGGGCTGGGAAGGGCTGGGGACCCTGACGCCAGAGGGCCGCGGCTTGGACAGCGTGTCGCTCCGCAGCGTGAGGGACCAGCACCGACGCAGCGGCACGCTGTCCAAGAAGGTTCCCCGACCGTAGGGCCCCCCCTGGGGGCTCCGAAGGTGCACGCACGGTGCACCTTGCTTCACCCCCCGTGTATTCCCCCCTCCCTCTGAGCGACGCCAGAAATTCTTCCGACGGTAGGACCCCACATGAGAATTCTCTCGGCGAAGCTGGAAATGACCCTCATCGTCGTCCTCGTGACTGGTGAGGCGGCCTTGCCGTCTCCTCTGCGTCATTCTCCTTCTCGCCCTGGCGCAGGCCCGAAAGTGACGACCGTTACAGGATTCGGATGACCCGCTTGGATTACGTAGTATCATGATCTGTGGGCCCCATAGGGAGGGGGCTCCCGTTGAGTGACGCGAGAAAAACACAACGGTCACACATAAGAGTGACCCTTCGCCTGAGTGACCTTTGGCGCGAGGTGTTCGGGGGGCGCGGGAGGGTCTGACCCAGAGGCGCATGCCGCTGCGGCCGCACCGCACGCAGGGATCGGGAAGCAGCTCACCAAATTTCACTTCTTCCTAAGGGCAACTCTTCGCGCAGCAAGAGCAAACGGTCAGTGGCATCCAGGACGTCGAAGAGGGTGGTGAGGAATATAGGAGGCGGTGGAATATATAGGTGGTGGTGGAGGAATATAGGAGGGTGGTGAGGAATATAGGAGGTGGTCGATTTCACTACTTGTTTCAATGCGGTCCCTGACCCCGTCCCCGCATATACATCGGGCCAACCAGAGAGCGGGGACGTGCACCACGCATGTCTTTTTCTTGCGGCCCGCTCGGCCTGGGAGCGCAAGCCGAGTGAGCGCGTTGGCGCCAGGAGCCCAGTGTGCAGACGGTGTGGAGAAGGCGTGTTGTGGTGGGGCTTCCTGTGGGACTCGGAGCGGGCTTCCCACCCGTGTCTGGACACATGGCTGCAGCTCGGATCTGGCGGCCATGCGGCTGTCCCACCCGAGGAGCCCAGAGAGGCCAGCTGCAGCCCAAGCAGCGGTGAAAGCGCGCGGCCCCCGTGTAGCCGTATTCCACCGTACTCTGTCCCTTGTTCTTCCCCCGACTCTCCCCTCCGCCCCTCTCTCGTCCTTCCCTTTATGTTTATTCCTGCGCTCCCTCTCCTCCCGTGCAAACTCCATCTCCTCCCGGCGGCTTATGCTGCGTTACTTGGGCTACCCCAATGCGTGCATTTCTCCTTGATCTCTTATTGTCAACCAGGAAGTGGCACCAGGTGGTCCACTAGAGAGGATGAAGGCGCCCCAGTGCCATATCACTTCAAGTCCGCCTCCTTCTGTTCCTCCGTTTACTGTTCCGCTTCCTCGTTCCCTCGAACCCTGGACAGGTGCAGATGTGGGACTTCCGGGACGCAGACCCCCGCTTCCGGGACTTTTGCGAGCCTCTCCAGGCCCGAGCCGGGCCTTTGTTGTCGTCGTCGTCATCGTCGTCGTCGTCGTTGGCGTTAACACCGTTACAGCCTTTGTCGTTGTTGCTGTCGTGGTCGTCGCTGCCGTCGCTGCCTAGGGATTGTATCATTATCTGTTGTTGGCGGCTTGTCCTGGCGACCTCCTGTCTCGCAGAGCGGTGGTCTCGGACAGTCTGTGTGATCGCGCTCTCGTCTCCTCTTTCTCCTCCTCTCCTCTCCGCCTCCTCTTGAGAAGCGCTGTCGCCACCTATCCTCGCCCTCTTTTTGCTTCTCCTCCGTCATGGTCGCGGCTTTCACCCTTCTCACACCTGTTCCGCTTCCTCCCCTCCCCCCACACCCTCCGTAGCAATGAGGTTCCATTTTGGCCAGCCCCTGTGCTTTCACAAACCCCGGCGGGTACAAAACGGAGTCCCTCGTGAAGGGCCACGCTCTCCGGCGCGCGCTGCTGGCTGCTCCGGGCCAGCAGTGCAGCCCGGCGACGGCGAGGGAGAGAGGCGAGAAGCAAGCGGAGCGACGACGGACGCGGAGGCGGGAGGCCAGGGCGGGCGCGACGAGCCCGGGTGGCCAGTGCTCACATCGGTGTTCACGCCCCCCCCCCCACGCCGTTTTGCGGTGCTGCTGCGCTCTCCTGCCCAGGCCTCTCCCAGCTGGGGTCCGAGCAGAGGCGGCGGGAGGAGCCGCGCCGCATCGCCGGTGCAGCTCGATGTGGGGCCCGAGCTGCTCCACGGCGACGGCAGCGATGCATCGCCGGCCTCGCCGATGCATCGCCGGATGCGTCGGCGGTGCGGCGCGGTCTGCTGGCCCCATCTACGCGGACCCCATGCGGGAGGCCTCCATGCTGGCCCTGCGGCTGCCGATGCCCCCGCGCGGCAGTCCGCGGCGCCGCGGTGCACGCGGCCTCGCCCTGCAGATCCAGGGTGCGTGCGCTCCCTGCCCTGGCGAGAGCGGCGAGAGAGTCCTGGCATCGCTCGGACGTGTGCATTTTTTCTCGGCGAGGGCCGTCGAGGAGCATCCTTGATCACTTGACGGAAAAACCACGCACGAAATCGAAAAAAGCACAGGGAATGGACGTCCGAGCGATGGCCAGGAGTCGGCCCCCGCGCGAGATTCTTGTTGTTTCGTCCTCCGACGCGTAACGGCCGCCACCTCGGGCAAAGCGCGCTGTTTTTTGCTGCGGCGGCGGCGTTGCACCAAGGCCGAGGCCGAGGCCACCGCTGGGCGCCGCGGGGCCCAACTGGGCACCCGCCGGGGGCGGGAAGAGCGCGCGGGAGGGGGGCGAGGACGCCCCGCGGGCGGCGGAGCAGGCTCGGAGCAGGAAGCTCTCGTGCGCGAGTGCCTGGGCACGTGCCTGCGAGGCAGTCGAAGGGCGTCGTATCGTGGCATCGCTGCGGCGTGTGCACTTTTTGTTTCTCGGCGAGAAGCGCACCGAGGGGCATCCTGGACCCTCGCGCAAACAAAAACACACGCACGAAGCCGACACATGCCCGGGACATGGGCGTCCGAGCGACGGCAAGCGTATGGGGCCAGAGACGCGTGCTGCCAGCGCTGGGATCCCGGAAAGCCTCGGCACCAGGGCCTGCGTGTGCCAGGCGTGGCGAAGGACGGTTCCGGAGCGAGGTGGGGCCCAGACGAGCCCGGGGGAGCGGCCACGCGTGACATCCTGAGCGCGAGGAGCGAAGACGCACGGCCCAGGGCAGCAAGATGCCTACGGTAGCTTCGCGTCGTGTCGACCAGCGGCGACCCCAGCGCGGGCGTTCAAGGTTGAACGCCGCCGGCGACCCAGAATCGATCGATGTCGAACGATCGGACGTTGCGGAGACGGCCGATCGTTCCAGGTTGAACGATCCAGCGCGGTGTCAGGAACCAACGCCAGGGTCGACACGGCACGGACCTGCAGTATGCGATCCAACCAACTGACGACCAGGGCCACGCTCAACTTCACTTGGGCCAAACACGCACGCCCGTGGGGTAACTGTAGCGATCGTACGTAAGGGGGGGGCCTGACCTTAGTGGGCCCCGGAAACGACAGGGCCGTTTCTGTTACCGGTTCCGTTTTGCCGTTTTTTTGCCGGTTCTGACGCCGTTTTTTTACCGGTTCCCTCGCCGTTTTTGGACCGGTTCCGGCTCCGGCTCCGATCCTGGAGCCGTTTTTTTGCCGTTTCCGGTCGCCGTTTTTTTGCCGTTTCCATTTTCAAGGGACATTTTTTTGGGAAACGGTGAAAAAACGGCCCTGCCGTTTCCGGGGCCCACAAAGGGCCTGACCCCCCCCCACATGTTGCTCCTCGCGCGCGCTGTGGCGACCGCAGCGCCCCTCCGCCCCGAAGTGTTTTATCCCGCCCAAGCGTTGCCGCACCGTTGCCCGGGAACTCCTCTCCCGACATTGCAAACATTAGCCTGGCGAAGATCGACTAGACGTAAGAGTGACCTTTCGCCAGAGTAACCTTTGGTGCGGGCACAGATGAGTCCCCAGGTGGCTGAAAACGAAGCAGGAGCAGCGGCTTGCGCGCCTAGGTTGGGTCCCCCCGCGGCCCCCCAAAAGCCGCGCACCAAAGGTCATTCTTATCCAGGGTCACTCTTGCGTGTAGCCGAGAAGAACCCAACCATATGCAGTTGTGAGTACCGCAGTTGTGGGTATCGTCTTCCGTGGAGCTCCCTCTAGGGCCACGAAACGCTGCACTGGGCGGGGGGACCGCATGCGAGTTCCGCCACTGCGACCTTCGGTGGAGCTCCCTCTGGGGCCACGTAACGCTGTGCTGGATGGGGGAACCGCATGCGGACTGGGCCACTGGAGCCTCCGGTGGAGCTCTCTATGGGGCCAAGAAGCGTTGTACTGGGCGGGGGATCGGCATGCGAGTTCCGCCATTGGGACATTCGGTGGAGCTCCCTCTTCGGCCACGAAACGTTGTACTCTGTGGGGGAACCGCATGCGGACTGCGCCATTGGCACCTTCGGTGGAGCTCCCTCTGGGACCACGCAGCGCTGGGCGGGGGAACCGCATGCGGGCTGCGCCACTGGGACCTTCGGTGCAGCTCTTTATTGGGCCACGAAGCGATGTACTGGGTGGGGGAAACGCATGCGGGCTGCGCCACTGGGACCTTCGGTGGAGCACCATCTTGGACCACGAAACGCTGACCGCATGCGGACTGCGCCACCGAGACCTTCGGTGGAGCTCCCTTCGCGGCCATGAAGCGATGTGCTGTGTGGGGGAACCGCATGCGGACTGCGCCACTGGGACCGTCGTTGGAGCCCCCGCTGGGGCCACGAAACGCTGCAGTGGGCGGGGACACGCATGTGAACTGCGGAGGAGGGAGGAGGGAGGACGGGGAGGCGGAGGAGAGGACGGAAGGAACGCGGGGCGCTGTCCCTCGAAAGCGCGGACCCGACACCACGGGACGGTTGGGAGCGATCTCCTCGGGGCATGCCGCCCACGGGGCCGCAGAGCTGTGAGGCAGGGCCGTGCTGCGCCGACGCGGCGGCGAGCCCGCCGCTGGCGTTCCAGGCTCGGAACGCCTCCCGCGGGCCCGGAGTCGGCCCACGCGGAGCGCCCCGTGCGACTGAAAAGCCCCTCGGGGCCGTCGCGAGGAGGAGAAGGAGGAGGAGGAGGAGAAGGAGGAGGAGGAGGAGGAGGAGGAGAAGGAGGAGGAGAGCGAGGACGAGGACGAGGAGGAGTAGGAGGAGGAGGAGGACACGAGCCTGCCGTGCGCCCCTGCGCGGCGAGTGGGGGGGCCCTGTCGTCCGCGCACGGGGCGGCCCATCGACGAGCGCGCGGGGGGGGCGCGCGGCCGCCTCCCGCGGGCTCCGCGGCCTCTCCCTCGCCAAGGCTCGGGCCTGCCACCGCCAGCTCCTGGCCCGCCGGGCTGCCTTTCTCCTCCCGGATCGTCTCTGCGCGAGCTGTTCTTAGGCAAAGCCTCGCCGACGCCTGGTGCCCAAATGGTGTACTCAGAGCCCCGAATCATCAGGGGTAACTCGGGTCAGGGATAACTCGGGTTCGTTTTGCGGGAGTCCAAACCCGAGTTACCCCGGACCCGAGTTATCCCGGATAACTCGGGCGTCCAGAGCCCCGAATCATCAGGGGTAACTCGGGTCAGGGCTAACTCGGGTTCCTTTCTCGGGAATCCAAACCCGAGTTACCCCGGACCCGAGTTACCCCGGATAACTCGGGCGCCCAATGTACGGCTCTGTTGCGAGGAGCAGAAGGAAACCTAGCCCGCCCCACGCAACCGTTCTTCACGCAGGGGCAACTCTGGGGGGGGGGGGGGCAGGCCCAGGGGGGGATGCATCTCGGCGGCGAGCGAGGGGAGGAAGCGAGAAGGAGGAGGCCCTCTCAGAGGGCGGCGGTGCTTCTCGGAAGCGCCCCGAGGCTTCTGAGGATGTAGGTGCGTCTTCGGGGAAGGCTTAGAAGACTTCTCAGACGGCCGCGGGGCCCGCCCCTTCGCATTTCCCCCCGGGCTCGCCTCCGAGCATGGATCCCCAATCGGGGGCTTGATAGCCCACCCCGCCCAGACTGTGCTGATTCACCATGCGGGTCCGATCGCCAATCGATTGGCTATGTATCGCCGGTGCAAGCCCGACCTACACCTTAGGCGATGCTTAAGAAAACTTATTTTTTTGGCCAGACTCTTGATTATTCTTAATGTTTCAACGTAAATCCTAAGATTTTAATAGAAATTTTGGGTTTTAGTCAAGTTCTGAGACTATGAATTTCTTAACCCATGATTTCTTAAGCATTTCGCAAGGTGTACCTCGCCCCCCAACACCCCCTTGGGCTGCCCCCCCCCCCCTTAGCGCTGCCCCTCACACTCACGCCGAGGACGTTGGGCCACGCGCCGCAGCTCTTCTGTCTTGTCCTGCATGACGGTGATCTTCTGCATCACCTTTCCCTTAGGGCTTGTCGACTTTTCGCCAATCGACTTGTGAGAATCGAGCCAGATAAACCCAGGTCAATGCAGATAAATCGAGGTAAATCCAGGTAAATCTAGATAAATCTGGGTAAATCCAGGTAAATCCAGAGATCTCCAGGGAAAGTTCGAGCACTTCGCGGCCGCTCCAGCGCGAGTCGAAGGACGGCAGAAGTCGTTAAGCCTTTAACGAACCTTGCTCGAGAACATGGCGTGACCTCTACGCTCTTCGTTCGCGCGCGCAGGTACTCCGAGGTCCTCCGTCTCCCTGCAGCGAGCCTCCTCTGCAGACGTTCTCTTCGAGTTGGAGAGCTCCGTGAGCAGCCTGACCGCCTGCGCAGCAATGCGCGCCCGTGCGTTCCTCCCGTATCCCATGCTGGTGTGTTTGCAGATGGTCGTGAAGGATCACGTGTTCCTCTCGCGGTGCCTTGAACGTTGGTCGTGGCCCAGAACAGTACGACTGAACGCGAATCTCCCATTGCTGAGTTTTGGGGAGCAGCTTGCGCCAGCGCTGGTGGCAGGGTTGCCCTGAGCACTACGGGCGACATCGTCGCGAGCGCGTCGCTGGCTGTAGAGGGTTTAGACTCGCCAGGCTTGCACACCGCAGCCGACTGCTGCAACAGTTCGCGCAGCGGCCTGGACCTCGAGCGTGGCAAGGGTGTCTCCCCGTGTGTGCACGTCCCCGTGTTCAATGTTGTCAACGGCATACACTTGCGACCGTCCGCTTCCTTTCTCACGGCGGTGCCGTGTGCGGCGATCGTCGACGTCATTTGCGCCTACGGCATCACCCATTACAACGTCTGCGCTGGCGCTTCTTGGCCTCACTGGTTGCATCGCTTGGGCCTCGTTGGCGATCCAGCGATATCCGACCCAGCACCGCCGCAAAAGGCATCCCGACCCACCGCAAAGCCGAGCTCGATGACTCCATAGACTCCTGAGTGTCGACGCGCGCACGCGTTGGCGAAACGCTTGTCATTATGTGGTGTTGCATTTCTCCTCGGATGTCTCGTCGCCCTCCACATGCTTCCCCTCATGCTGTCCACTCTCTCTGCTCGCTACTCCGTCTTCTCTCCTCCCCCGCCCCCTCCACTTCCCCATCCCCTCCGCCGCCCTTCTTCTGCTCCCTCCCCTCGTTCTCCTTTTGACGAGAGGGAGCAGGGGCAAGCGAGGAAGATAGAAGGATGAAGAGGGGTCGGGGAGAGGAGATGAGGATGAAGAGGGCCTCGACGCACTCCTCTCATCTTTCCGCGTCCCTGATTCGCGTACCCCGTCCACCCTTTCCCCCCCTTCCCCCCCCCCCCTGCGGGGTCTTGGCACAACGTCCTACGGATCAATAGCTCACCAGATAGTTCCACCTTCCTCGCCCCTCATCCCATCGCACCCCACCTCCACCCTCCTCCAAAATCCTCCCCCCCCTCCCTTGCCCCCCCCCCCTCCGCCCTCCTCCTCCCTTGCTCCTCCCCCCGCCCTCCCCTTCCACCCTCCTCCTCCTCCTCCTCCTCCTCCTCCTCCTCCTCCTCCTCCTCCTCCTCCTTCCTCCTCCTCCTCCTCCCCTCCCCTCCCCCCCTCCCCCTCCCCCTCCCCCTCCTCCCCCTCCTCCTTCTCCTCCTCCTCCTCCTCCTCCTCCTCCTCCTCCTCCTCCTTCTCCTCTTCCTCCTCGTCCTCCTCCTCGGCCCTCTACAACCCCCCATCCGCCCTCCTCCTCGCCCCATCCCCCCCCATCCAGCCTCCTAATCCCTTCCCTCCCCCCATCCCTTCCTTCCCCCGTTCGCCCTCCTCTTCCCCCGCTTCTCCCCCGCCCCCCACCCTCCACCGCTCTCCTCCCTGGCCCTCCACCCGTCCCTCCCCCTTCGCCCCACGGGCCCATCCATCACCCATCGCTCCTCCCCCCATCTCAACGGGGTACGTGGGGGATGGAGGGAGGAGGGAACGGTGTGGAGCGGCACAGCGCTTTCCCCCCGACCGGGGCGTGCGCTGCCGACCGCCTTGGCATCGGGATGTGAGGTGTTGCGTCGGCGCGGAAGTCTGGAGTAGAAGGAGGGATGGAGGGGCATATGGATGGAGGAAGAGAGGGCGAGGGAGGGAGAGAGGGAGGGGGAGGAGGGAGGAGGAGGGAGGATGATGATGATGAGCGGGGGAAGGGGAGGCGCTGAAGGCAGGCGGAGGAGGAGGAGGAGGAGGAGGAGGAGGAGAAGGAGGAGGAGGAAGGGGCAGGAGGAGGAGGTGGAGGTGGAGGAGGAGGAGGAGGAGGAGGAGGAGGAGGAGGAGGAGGAGGCGGCAAGGGAGTGAGGGAGGAATGAGAGGGTGGAACATGTTGCACGGAGGGGCGGAGGGATAAGAGGAGCAGGAGGAGCAGGGAGGGGAGGAGGTCGATGAGGTTGCACGGAGAGCAGGAGGGTGCCGAGGAGGTGGAGGAGGATCTGTTATTGCTTGCGAGGCTTTAACTGCATGATACTCCGAACTCAATCCCGACCCAGCCGCCCCGCCCTATCATCACGAGGCAGGCGGGAGGGGGCCGACTCCTCGCTACAGAGGGCGGCCCCAGCTGGTTCAACTGCGCAGTCCTAGCCAGCGCGGTAACCGCCTGTCCTACTCGAGCATATTCCGAGGCAGCCTGTGTCGCGGGCCCTCTGGCAGGGCCCCATGGGATCATGTTCAGCCGCAAGTTCTGATGACGTCTTCCGAGCTAACACGCGCCGAAGGCTTCCTAGGGTCAGGATGCGTTATGTTCGAACTGTTTCGTATTTCGTCGTGGCTCCGAAGCTCTCAGGCACCGTGTGTGTGTGTGTGTGTGTGCCTGTGTGTGTGTGTGCTTGTGTGTGTTATGCAAGTTGTGCTTGAGGGGGGATCCAGCAGAAACGAAGGAAGCGCAGCGGACACTATCAGACAGCGTGCTCTCGTCTGAGCAGGAGAAAGCAACAGCCCTGTGACCCAACTCTGTGGCTATGCCCAGATCGATATCGCTCGGCTCGCCACAACACGCGCGAGTGTGGCCTCGTTTGTGGTGCTTGTGATCTCTGAGGAGCTTGCAAGAGCTTCACATCTCTCCAACCTCGAGTGATCCACTGGAAGCGGCACGGCAAGTAATGGCGAACGACATATCGCGATGCCCTACGAACGGGTCGATGCTAGCGGGGATCCCAGGGTCCACGAGCTCTTTCCGAATGCGGTGAGATAGCGCGGTGGCATATTACAGATGGGCACCCCCATCCAAGCGGGTAGTCTGCAGGGTAAGCAAGTCTTTTCTGTCAGATGAGCGGGTCCAGATCGCGCCGCATGAGACAGCTCTCAGCATGCCCCTCTCGAGGGCGGTGTATTTGCTGGAGCGCACAAGGATGCTACCAGGTAGTCGCACACGCGTCCTGGGAAGGAGTTTTTCTCACCGATGTCCTTTTCCAGGCGTCTGAATGCCGCATCCCTCAGACGAATCTGTAAGAACCAGGGGGCGTGCAGAGTAAGAGAAGCAGTGCCGCCGTGGTCAGGATGTGGAGGAGGACGCGGGGGAGGAGGAGGGAGGAGAGGGCGGAGATAGCGGAGCGCCCCCCCCCCCCCCCCCCAGGTCTCCTTCGGCATTGACCTGCAGTGGCCCTCGCCAGAGCAGCTGAACGTGGAGGTCTCCAACTTCGCGACGACGCTGCACCTGCCCGCGTGACCCGCGCGGGGGGCGGTGCCGCGCCCCTCTCCCCGAAGAGCTGCGCCCTTTCGCCCACCGCTGGCTCCTGGACGCCGCCTGCGCAGTGCGCAGACTCGGCGGCAGGCTGGCAGCGGCCGTGGCAGCGGCTGGAAGCTCGCGCGCCTGTAGGGCAAGCTGCGAGGCTCGGCGGCACTGCAGAGAGGGGGGGTCCATCAGGAGGGGACAAAAACACAGAGGCACGACGTATCGTCGATTCCCCGGGAAGTACGGGAAACTATGGGGAGTGGGAGGGAAGACGAACACCCCAAAGAAATGCGAGAAAATATGGGGGGATCTTTGCATATGTGTGTGTACTCCAGATTTCGTAATAAAGGGAGGGGGGTCTCATTTCGGGGGGGGTCTCTTCCAGGCCATCTTGGAGGGCCTGGGGGGGTCTGGGGACGATGTTTCGGAGGGTTCTCCCACGGGGGGGGTCTGAAATGGCTTGTCTTGGGGGGTCCAGACCCCCTCCCTTTTATTACGAAATCTGGAGTATCTATTTGTGTGTCCTGGGGCCCCTTTAGTCTGGGGGGGGGGATGCGGGGCTGCGACGTCGCAGCAGGTCCAGCGGGAGGGCGCGGCACGCCAGCCGAGCGGGGAGGCGCGCCACGCCCGGCCTGGCCAGGCGGGGCCAGGACCCGGACACGCCGTCCCAGTGCGTCCGGGCATGCTCTCAGCGCGTTCCGCGCAGTGTTGGGTCGGGCCTGTCCCCCTAGAGGGGGAGCTTGAGCGAAACATGAGAAATAGTCGAAAAATGCGCCCACATGGTCGAACATCGTAAACAAAATCGTCCCCAGACTATTTTTAAAACTGCTTGTGAGTATTCCCCCTGTAGAGAGACAGGCCCGACTTCAGCGCAGTGCTCGGGAGGGGCCGCGGCGCCCGAGGCATCCTCCGGGGCCCGCCGGAGTCGCCTCGAGAGCTCCGAGGGCCTCGAGCTCTCCCCGCGGAGTCTGTCCCGGCCCCGGCTTCGGCCCCGGCTCCGTCACAGGCTGCCCCGGGGGGCCACCCGCAGAGGGGCGCGGAGAGATCCTGCCCCGCTCGTTCGCGCCTCCTCCTCCTCGATTATCCTCCTCCTCCTCCTCCTCCTCCTCCTCCTCCTCCCTCCTCCTCCTCCTCCTCCTCCTCCTCCTCCTCCCCCTCCTCCTCCTCGTCCTCCTCCCTCCTCCTCCTGCTCCTCCTGCTCCTCCTCCTCCTCCTCCTCCTCCTCCTCCTCCTCCCCCTCCTCCCCCTCCTCCTCCGTGGGCCGAGGAGGCGTCTTCCCCACGTCGGGGGCGCGCGAGGGCGGGGAGACGAGCAGCGCTCCGCGCGGCGAGGGTCCGATTGTGCTGTCTGCCCGCCAGAACCGGCCCTTCTCTCCCCACCCACCAAGCCACCCCGACCCAACCCGAAGGTCTCGACTTGCCCTCCATTCCCAGTTGGGGGGGGGATCGGGGAACATCGAGAAAACACATCTGGAACCCGTACCCCCCCCCCCCCCGAGATTCGGGTCTTCGGGTTGGGTTGGGGTGGTCTGGTAGGTAGTCATTATCCCCATCCCTATCCAGAGCCCCCACCACCGCAGCACCCCGCCTGGGGATGTCCCCTCGAAGCTTGAAGGAAGCGGCCGATAGACCCATGCAGGGGGCACGTCGGCCGCAGGGGCCCAGGCCACGCCCGTTCGGATAGGGATGCCATGAACGATGCTCCACAAACGGCGGCCACGGCACAGGCGTCACGGTGCTGAGCTGAAGCGCACATGCGACCTGCGCTGCACGAGGGCTCTGCGAAGCGCATCGTCGCCCCGCCACTCCCGCCACCTGCGCTGCTCTGCCGTGGCTGTGTTCCCCGTGCCTGGCCGACTCGTCGCGACCGCGGGGTGCGTGACGACGTGGGCCTCACCTCCACGGGGACCGCGCAGAAGCGTCGCCACGCACCCTGCTGTTGCCCACATCCCCGGGGGGGGGGGGTCAATTCCAATTCCCCAGGCCATCCCCCACGCTCCACCGCCAGAATCTGTCCATATCCACTGCCGCGGGGTCGTGGCCTGGGATCTCAAGGAGTGGTGGACATGGGTATCTGCGCGCACGCGGGGGCGGGCAGGCATCCACGTCTACTGCTCCCCAGGACCCCAGGGCACGCCCCGTGGCAGTGGAATCTCTGGCAGCGCACATGCCTCCTCCTCCTCCTCTGGGTGCCCTGCCCTCCCACGAGCTCCAGGAGAGGCGCCCCGATTGCATGATTGCCTTTCTGTCGGGGGTGGACAGAACCCCCAACAGTGACACGTCGATTAGTGAATTGTCCGTTTTCGGTTCTCGAGAGGGCGCCGTGACCGTTATTTTCCAGGCTTGCGCCCGCCAGGTTTGGGCCTCAGGTCGTTTTCACTAAACCACGTTTTACTAAAGGGGGGTCTGTCCATCCCCGATTCTGTTTTTCGCGGCGGCCTGCACGACAATCACCTCCCCGCGCTCCAGAACGGCGCTTATATGCCGGTGCTCGGGGGGGGTCAGGCTTGCGTGCTCCGCCTACGCGAAGCGCAGCACGCTTTGTATGGTCGCTGTGTCTGCGGATATCTGAAGCATTCGGGCAAGCCTCCGCTCCTTCAAGGACATGGCTTCTTCCTGACACTTCAGAGCTCGTGTTCAGGTAGCCCTGGGACACGACAGCAAATCGCTCGAAACCGTCCTAGAGCATTCTCGCAGCGTCGCCGAGCGCCACGAAGCTGATGCGGCGCCCCATAGATTCCCTGGACCGGCCAGCTCTCAGAGATTTCCAGTTCACGCACGCCTGATTTGCGCTCGTGTCCCGTCTCCCGTTCCCATCAGTTGGTACGGGAGCCCCCTTTTAACAATCAGTTGGTAAGCGCTGATCGCGTGTGCTCGTATCCTGCACTCGTTTCGCGTGCGCTACAGATTCAAGGCGCAGAGGCCGATTTCGGCCGAGGGCCCATGTGCAGTGGCCGACGCCTACAGCCACCAGCAAGAGTGGAGAAGGAAAAGGACGAGCCAGAGGACGGTGGAAGACAGACGACCCGGATACCAGTGAGCTTCATTTCAGGCCCTAGTGAGCTTACCCATATAGCCCGAACCATCTTGTGCTGAATTTCATCGTTCCACCTCGCACATAATTCGCTTTCAAACTCGAGTGCCGACGGAGGATGAGGATGACGACGAGTGAGGGAAGTGAGGGGGAGTAGTGGAACAGAAATGATGACGAGTTAGAAACCATTTGGTGCAAGCATCCGAACGCATATCCTCGATCGCCCTCGCTCCTTGTCCTCGTCCTCCTCCTCTTCCCCTTCCTCCTCCTCCTCATCCTCCTCCTCTCCCGTCTCGTCCTCACCACTCGTCCTCATGACTGCTCATCCACACGGTGGTCGTTTCGCTCGTCCCCAATCCAACAGACTCCCCGTTGTTTTTATTATTCGTCCGCATCTGCACTCCTCCTCCTCCTCTTCCTCCTCCTCCTCCTCCTCCTCCCCCTCCTCTCTTCTTCACCTCCCCTTCCTCCTAATTCCGATCGTCTCGCTTCTCCTACGTATCCTATCGATCCTCCTGCTTCTCCTTCTCATCGCTATCCTCACTTTTCGTCTGCCTCCTTACCACTCATCTGTATCCATCCTCCGCACTACTCCTACTCCCCCTCGATCGCTTCCCCTCCACACCACCACCGCCATCATCAGCATCATACCCATCATCATCAGCAGCAGCAGCAGCAGCCGCAGCAGCAGCAGCAGCAGCACCATGATTAGTGTCATCATCGTACTCATCATCAATATCATCATCATCACCAGCAGCATCATCATACTCATATTCCCCCTCATCATCACTACCACCATCAACATCTTAACCTGCATCACCACCAGCATCAGCATCGTCGTCACCATCGTCATCATAATCAGCATCGCTCCTCTCCTCATCGCCGCTGCTGCGTCTCCTCCGCATTCTCCCCATCCAAGCCATATTCCTCACCGCTCGTCCTCACTCCTGCCCGTCGTGCCTCCTCCTCCTCCTCCTCCTCCTCCTCCTCCTCAGTCCTTTGCATCCTTTCTCATACATCCTCCTCGCTCATCCTCGCGCCGCTCGTCACTCCTCCCCACCCCTTCACCCACATACTCCCCGCTCCTCTTCACGCTTCATTCTCGCGCCTCCGTTTTTCGGCTCGTCCTCCTCCTCCTTGCTTCCCTTTTCTCCTCCTCTGGTGCCTCGCTGTATCCTGTCGAGGCCTTGACGGCATATAGGGTCGGGTTCTTTCTGGTCATCATGGAGCCATCTTCGGTCATCTTGGGCACCTCTTTAAGCCGCAGCGGCAGGCCCAGCCTTTCTGGCTCAGGCACCTTTCTGGCTCAGGCATTGCTTGAGCTTGCCGGCAGCGCACTGCAGAAAAGCATTGGTTTCGCGAGCCACTGGCTCAAGTCCCCCCTCCTCGCCACGAGCTGCGCGCCATGTCTCCCTGGCGCGACCGCCTTCCCCCGAGGCCGAAGCCAAGGACGTGGCGCTGCGAGGCCTTCGGATGCAACCGCAACCTCGCAGGGTGGTGGTGGTGCCATCGACGGATACGGGTCCAAGGATGACGCGGGAGGTGACAGCCAAGTTGCTGTTGACGGTGCTCCTCTGCTTCCCGGGCTTGTCCGCTCTCATTGGGGTGCTTGGTCGCTTCCCTTGCCCCAGTCCAAGTCCCTCGCCATCGCCACCGGGTGCCTCTCCAGCGCCGAGCTCGGCGCGCTGGCGACCATTGCGAAGAAGCAGGGCCGAGAGCCTGTGTGCAAAGAGTACGCGAGGGACAGGGACTCTCAGCTGGTTCCCGAGCAGCCACGTGTGGAGCAGCCCGTTTCCCTTCACACCAGGGCCAGCCAGGCCCAGCCCAAAATCAAGCAGTGTGAGAAGCGCATCGAGAAGGAACTTGGCAAATTGGAGCGCTGGAGAGGCGGCATCAAACTGTTGGAGGAGTCTAGTCAACAGCTTTCGGAGGAGCTCACTGGCCATGAACACACGCACGAG